CTCTGGAACTCCAGTGACAACTCCCCCAGGTTCCCTTGTTCTGCTGCACTGCCCGGCATCTGGTTAGCGACTGCAGGACCTGGGATTCGACTTTCCATGACGTTTGTGAACAATATCACAGTAGTTTGCCATTAATTCAAAGCTAAAAGTCTTACAGGCAAGAGCTCAAATATATAGAGGGGAATTTTTTTTTGCAGAATAAAAGATGAAATCATACAGATTAAAAGATGAAAGTTCTACAGGTAAAAGTGTGATAACTTTAATCCTGTGCCCTGTGCGTATGCCTGGCTCAGTTGGTAGAACTCTTGCTTCTGAGTCAGAAGGTTGTGAGTTCAAGCCTTGTGTCAAGACTTTGAAATCATATTGTTTAGGCTGCTATTCCGGTGCAGTGCTGGAAGAGTGCTGCATTGTTTGAGGTGGCATAACAAGGCCCCAGGGGTCCTGGTACAAGAATAGGTTAGGGGCCCCAAATTTTCCCAATTTGAACTCCAAAAGTTTGCTTACCTTTCCGGCACGTACCAGCTCACTTCGAGCCTAGGAGACAGGTAAGTATTTCCAAAATGGCTCAAATATTTTATTTGGTGGGGGGATGAGGTGGGGTCAGAGGTATGTTTCCAGCCCCAAGACATTCCACCGCCAGTGTGTTGGGCCTCTATAACCTTGTGGGCCCCCGAGCACGACTGAACCACTTGCACCATTGTAGTTACACCACTGGTGCCGTCTTTGGATAAGATGTAAAACTAGGGTCCCATTATCTTTTCAGGTGGATGTTAAAGATCCCATGATACTAATTGAAAAGGGAAGGGAGTTTCTCCTGGGGTCCTAGCCAACAATCCTCCAGATTAAATTGGTCATTCATTTCATGGCTGTTTGTGGGAGGTCACTATGCTCCAAATGGCTGTTGTGTTCACCCGCAAAATACACCATCACTGAGCTCTACAGTAAGTTCTGTGAAACTCTTTGAGCGTTCTACCAATATAAGACGCCATATAAAATGCAAGGATTACTTAGCAAATTCTAAACTAATACAAGATGATGTACACTGGAATATAAAGTAAATGTGCATACGTTTATTATAAATAGTGTTTCACATTTATAAATGTATTTTTAACAAGGTATTATCCCAACCATTTATTTCTTTGTATTCATATGATCAAAAATATTCAAAGATGTTCCTGGTTATCAATGCTTTAAAAGTAAACATTATAACTCTTACCTCCTTGCATTTCAGATCAGTATCATCTGAAAGATTGGAAGGAGAATTAGCCCCAAAGAACCTGGAAATGCCTTCAAATATATTTAGTGACTGACCAGACTGAAATTATTTAAAGATTTCTTGCCTAGTCTCATTTTTCTTTATCATATTTTAATAATTTTTCAATTATATTCTGCGTCAGACATAATCACACATGGGCAGATAAAGGAAATATGGATTGGCCACTGATTTGTGTTATCTTATAAATTTTCCTATGGCCCAGAGTCCTATCCACATCTGCAATATGAAATGTGATAAATATCACTTGGGTAATGTTGAGACTTTGTTCTTATAAATTCTTCAATGATCTGATTTTATCGCCAAACTTTTATTCCTGGTATTTGAATATTGAATATTAAAGCACTTCAGACAGTCAGGTACTGCTCAGCCCGAACATGTGCCATTTGGCAGAGAACGTTGCTTGTTCTAATGTAGAGCATCTTTGAGCTGTTCGTTCAAGTTATTTCAAATTAGCACTTTAATGAGGTGCTATTTAATAGTGAATGTAACACCACACACTGGTGGTACTAAGGAGAGGAAAATGCAGGCCCAAGTTGAAGTATACAGACATGGGGTCGAAGTGGCAGTATTTCTTAATGGATTTTTTAATAAGGAATTCAGTTAGAAATGCCTTTTCTTTGAGACCTCTACTTCAGAGGTAGATCTGATTGGAACAAAGTACTTCAAGTCACCATAGTGATGGGGAGCCAGTGGAGCTTGGCCAGAACTGGTGAGATGTGGGTATAGAGTTTGGTCCGGGTCAGTATGCGGGCGGCAAAGTTCTGAATGAGCTGGATCTTTTGAATGGTGGAGCTGGGGAGACCGGCGAGTTATCCATTTGAGTAATCCAGGCAGGTGGTGACAAACACATGCATGAGGGTTTTGGCTGCATTTGAGATAAGGTATGGTCGGAGACGGGCAATGTGGCGAAGGTGGAAGAAGGTGGTCCTGGTCAGGTACCAGATGTTGGGGAGGAAGGACAGATGGGGGTTGAACCGGACACCTAGTTCGGTGAGTGTGAGGGAGAGCCCAGGGAGGTTGAGGAGTTCAGATCTGTAGGATTGAAGATATTGATGGGAGCCAAGGAGTATGGCATCCGCATACGTGGGGAAGTTTACCCCATAACTGCGGATGACATCGCCCAGAGATTACTTGCTAAAATTAAGGCTCATGAATTAAAGGCACTATCATATAACGGATCGGAAATGGGTTGAGAAGTTGAGGCAGAAAGTTGGGATAAAAGGGACATTCTCTGGTTGGTGGGCAGTAAAAACTTGTGTCAGGAATTGATACTGGCCCAGGGTTTCAACACTATATTTAATAATCTGGATATAGGAACAGAGGGGAGTTTTTCCATATTTGCGGACACAATTTGGAATAGACAGATCAATCAGCTATTTTGTTTTCTAAGTGAAGATAACAACTTTACAGTTTATAACTGGGTCTGGGATATTGTCTGCACCCAAAAATGCTCTCAGAGAAGCCATTTGATTGTTCAACTGAAAAGATGTGGTTGGTTTAAAAAAACAAGAAAGGCTATAAAGGACATTGATTACTGAAATTAGAAGTGGTGTGCAACATTTCTTAAATATACCTGCAAAGATTAGCTTGTAAAGCCATTAAGATGTGTGAAAAAAATCCTGTGACCAAATTTCCAAACTGTACTTGAGATTATTATTATTATTATTGTTATTATATTTATTATTGTGTATCTCTCTCACGTAGCAGCTTGAAGCTATGGGACATTTTAGGATTGGCCTCGTGGAACATGGGTACCTCATGGGTAACTTTATTAGCGCCATGCCTTCAGCCACTACGCCCCAAAACTCTGGAACTCTCTCCCTCAATCCCTCCACCTTGCCCCCTCCCTCTCCACTTTCAAATCCCACCTAAAGACCTTCATTTTTGATCGTTTTTATGGTCACCTCCCTCTCCCCCTGGTTCGGGGTCAGACTCCACCATTGTCAAGCTCTCTGGGATGCTACCCCATGTGAAGGGTGCTATATAAATGCAAGATGTTGTTTTTTGTTGTATTAAGCATTACAATGCTGACAGATCTAGGGAAACCCCTGTGTGTGCTAAAGCCAGTTGTAGTGCTCCAACTCCTGCCACAGCTGCGTCAGCGAATTTAGCTTAGTGCTGTGCAATCTGATCTGTGCAGCTCAAAGCCATTCAATGCTGTGCTTTTACCCACTAGTCCATTAGTATATCGATGTACAGATTAAATATGGCAGTAAACTTTAAAAACCTCAAATTAAATAGTTATTGGTGGTAGATCCAATTAATTTTGCCTGGCTGAAAACCATGATGGACGTACATAGTTCAGGAAGAAGCTTCCCCAATGGTTCAGTTGATAAACCCATTTCCAGGGTGAAAGTGATCCAAAAATCCCCCTTCAATGCTGTAATATTCTACAACTACATATGTGTGCTTATGTTATTGTAGCTAGTCAGTCAGTGTAAAACATGCCCCTGGAACAGGAGCTGGATTGCTGCAACAATAGACTAGAAGATGCTTTTCTGTGATTCTATGCATATATAGTGTGTGTTAATGCAACTGAATAGTTAGTGCATAGGCAGGACCCAGGAGGACAGGACGTGATGTACTGACCGGTCAGTGTCTTTCTTTGCTGTAAAATTTGATGTATATGCAGTGTGTGCCTTGGTGTGTGAATGTGATTGCAAGTGGCAGTCAGTGCAAAGCCACCTGGAGCACAGGACATGATGGATTGAATAGTCTTTTTCTGTGCTGTACAATTCTATACATATGTATTCTTGAGTGTTGTGTCATTGCAGCCAGACAGTCAATGCAAAGCATGGACCCTGGTGCACAGAACACAATGGACTGAATGACCTATTTCTTTTCGGTACAATTGTATAATATGCATATACACTATACTATGTGTATGTGTGTGTTATGGCGGGCGGGCAATCAGTGCCTGCGGGACCGGTCCCTGGAGCAGAAGACATTATGAATAGAATGACCTTTTTTCTGCACTGTAAAATTCTGTGTATATATAATAAAGTGTGTGCCTGGGTGGGCGTTATTGCAGGCAGACACTCAGTTCAAAGCCTGGAGACAGGAGAGCATGGACTGAATATAATAATAATAATGTTTGCATTTGATATAGCGCCTTATTGCATCTTCGGACGTCTCAAAGCGCTTCACGTGATGTACTGTATTTTGTGGGCGAAACGCGGCAGCCAAGTGCGCACAGCAGCGTCCCACAAGCAGTCGCGGGTTGAAGTGACCGAACGATGATTTATCGGAAAGGGATTATTACGCCCGGAAAAGCGAATGGCGTTTCTGTGTTCTGCAGGTCCTCGAGTGTGCGTGTGTGTGCGCGGCACAGAGTGAGTGAGTGAGTGAGTGTGAGAGTGAGTGAGTGAGTGAGTGAGATGACAGTCAGTGCAAAGGCTGGAGACAGAGAGGACTGAGCAGAGTGAACTGCTTGATGGACTGTGCGGTGTGTGCGAGTGAGTGAGTGAGTGTGTGCGAGTGCAGTACAGGGTGGGGCTGGAGCCAGTGGGCGGGGGTGGGGGTGTGGGGGTGTGTGTGTGGGTGTGTGTGTGGGAGGGGGTGGAGAGGAGGCACGTGCTCGGGATCTGGGGTTGCAGCACGTGTGTGTGTGTGTGTGTGGGGGAGTGGGAGGAGGAGGAGGACTTTACTGCTCGGCACCAGAGAGCGGCAGCTGCGGGTCGAGGGGCGCAAACTTTATTCGCCTCCTCTCTCCCTCTCTCTCTCTCTCTGTGCCTTAAACGTGTGGTGGTGGTGGGGAGAAGGGGGGAAGATGCCGAACGGCGCTGCCAGCAAGTCCTCCGCCCCCGCCGGGCAGGGCGACGCCGAGCCGGGGGTCCGGAGCTTCCCCAAGGGGCTGAGTGCGGGCGGAGGGGTGGGGGGGGCGGTGATGGTGGGCGCCGCCGGGACCGCCGAGGCGGCCGCCCTGACGCCCAAGAAGTCGCCCCGACTGCCCAAGTGCGCCCGGTGCAGGAACCACGGCTACGTGTCCGCTCTGAAGGGCCACAAGAGGTTCTGCATGTGGCGGGAGTGCCAGTGCAAGAAATGCAACCTGATCGCCGAGAGGCAGAGGGTCATGGCAGCTCAGGTAACACCCCCCCACCCACACACCCCACACACCACCCCCACACACCCCACACCCGGGGAGCGCCTCAGAGCGCCCGGCAACTGCTTTGCTGCAATTCCACTGTATTATCTTTTGAGAGGAAGCGCTGATATTGCCAAACACCAGGAGGAGGAGGAGGAGGATGGTGATGGTTGTTGTTGTTGTTGTTGTTATTATTTTGGGTTGTTACTCAGCCGACCCGCTGCAGTTTGCGGTGGTTGCACCCCCTGGTCAGGTTGTGTACACGTGTGGAGACGAGAGGATTTCACCATCACATCCCATCCCATCTCATCCCATCCCAAACCATCCCATCCCAAACCATCCCATCTCATCACATCCCATCCCATCTCATCACATCACATCCCATCCCATCTCATCTCATCCCATCCCAAACCATCTCATCCCATCCCAAACCATCTCATCCCATCTCATCCCATCTCATCCCATCCCATCTCATCCGTGGCTTCTGCAACAGACACCATCCTTCCCTGTGTTGCCAGAAAGTTTTTGTCGCTTTCCATTCTGAAGTGGAAAGAAAAGCAACGTGATTGCAGTCAGGGGTTGTGTTTGCAGTTGGGGTGGTGTGTGTGTGTGTGTGTGGTGGGTGGTGGGTGGGGAGGGGGGTGTTGTCGTGGCTGCAAACTTACTGGAACAGAACAGATTGATTCACCTTCAGAGAGAGAGAGAGAGAGGGAGAGAGAACTTTTTGCATGACAAAAAAACAAATGTTTTTGAGGTTTTCCTGTAACGTGGCCCCTACACAAGTGCATGTGTACGGTTCAGTCGAGAGCGATGCTGTTGCCCCTGAGCTCAGCACCAAGTTCCAGAGTTGGAGCTCTTGTGTATATTTTGTATGTCGATTGCAACAACAAAAAAAGGTTCTGATGGCGCAGGTGTTTTTTTTTTGGATAATAAACTGAAACCTCTGATAACTACAGTGGAATTGAGTGAAATCAAAAAAACGGTGTGCGTTATAAAGGCTGAATCTGTGGGTCTGGGAGTTTGAAACAGATGCACTAAAATCACACCCTCAGTTCACAAAATCCATTAGGGGGTAAAATTGGTATTTTTGTCCAAATTCGCACAAATAATAGGATGTTTTCACCAATTAGGATTGAATGCAAAGATGCTGATTTAATTCGATCTGAGTCAAAGCTAACGCTACATTTAGAAAGTTGATTTTCCCAAATGTCGTCCTGAAAAAAAAGTCACTGATGGCAGTTTGAGAGGCTTGAATAGGCTTTAGGTTTAAGATTATTTTTTTATCGTAAACTTAAAATATTGTGCATTTCAATTTGTGTTTTGAATTGCCTTTAAAAGTTAGCAATGCCCTGAAACGCCCTCCGTTTGTCGAAACAGATCAAGTTCAATGTAATGTTGAATTGTTTGCAATTGTATTAGATTCATTTACCGAGATGTCCAATTCAAAGCGTGTTGCACAAGTTTCTGGGTCTGTGGGGTAGCAATTCACGAATAAAATTGAGTGATTGGACTTGGAAACTCTACACATTCAGCAAATTTCCACATTGCTGCTTACTCTAACAACACAAAATATACAAGTGCAAAATATAAAATCATGTTATTATATTTTTTAAAAAAGCATGCACCAAAGTTAAGGTTTACAGGCTGCAAAAAACGGAGTCCAGCTTTGCCATCGAAACTCCCTTTTGAGGTCAAAAATAAGTTCCCAAATGCATTCCAGGATTAAACATGGGAGTTGATGGGAAAGCTGGCACTGTGTGCAGAGCTCCAGGTTTTGCAGTCTGTGATCAGAGCCATGGACTGACTGACTGAGTGGCTTGTGTTGGTTGCAGGTGGCTCTGAGGAGACAGCAGGCTCAGGAGGAAGAGCTGGGCATCAGCCGCCCCATCCCTCTGCCTGGAGCCGCAGAGCTGCTGATCAAGAGAGAGAGCCCCCCCCCAAACAGCTCGTGTGCCCTGGGGACCGGGGGGTCTGGCTTGTCCTCCAACCCCAACACAACCCCGGTCACCACCTCAGGTAACTCAGAGCAATATGCATTGGGGTAAAGGGCTGACAGACAGGCAGACAGGGAGGGTGGGAGGATGGGGGGAGATTTTACTCTGTTCTCTCCCCAACCCCCAGATTCAGCCTTTATAAAACACACGGTTTTGCATTAACTCAGTTCCACTGCAGTTGTTATCACCGAGATTTCAAATGATTATCCCAAACCCTTCTTGTTGCAATTAACATGCAAAAAGTATTTTGTCGCTGCCTCTAAACCAGCCCCCACTCCAGTCACCTGGACCCACTTTAGAGAGTTGGGAGGATGGAGACACACAGAACAGTGCCATTTTTTATTTTACACGTGAATCAGACATTGCTGATTCCTTCCAAGTCCAGGGTTTGTTTCTCTGGAGGGAAATAAAGAACAGCCAGTCGCCAAAATTGTTGCAAATTTGTCCCAGCTCCGGGAAAAAAGATACATTTCACACCAACCAGCAGCCAGGTTTGCAAACCACCACGTTTTACACACACATACATACACACACACATACATACACACACACATACATACACATACATACACACATACATACATACATACATTCACACATACATACACACATACGTATATATACACACTAACATGCATATACATATACACACATACATATGTACATGCATATATACACATACATATATACTCATACATGTACATACATACATACACATAACATACATACATATACACATCACACACATGTACTCACACACACATATATACACATACACACACACGCGCCCAACATCGTATCGAGTCCTGCAATTGTTTGCATTATTTAAACAGTTTGGATTTCATTCGGATCTTTAAATTTTAAAGCCCCCAAAATAAAATAACCCGCCTGTGTAACTCCCTAAAAAGGTAAGGGAGGTGAATGAGAGAACAGAAGGAAAGTAACATGTTTCATTACTTTAAATCCCTTTTGAGTTCAGATCTTTAAAGAAAATATTTGCCAACCAAGGCAGGACTTCTTAATAAAGGACAACGGGTGGTGGGGTGATTGCATTTCCGCCTTGGGACGTCCTCCCGACGTGAAAGGCGCTCTACAAATACAATCTTGTTGTTGTTGTTCCACAGAAGATGTCTTGGGATTTGGCATTTTCCGCTTTTTAAGCACTTTGAGTTGGGAGAGAGTAGCATTGCACCGAACTTGTTGCAGTTGCAACGATCAGAGAAAGAGAGATAGAGAGACAGTGCTGGTTAGATCCTGGGAAACTACTTGTTAAAAAATCATACCAACAGGTTCAAGTGGGTACTGTACGTTTTATTTTTTGCAGGAGTAAAAATTACCTTCCTTTCTAAACCCCATCCTTCTCACAAGACAACTGTCTAATCAGTCATTTAAGGGAATATATTCTGAAATGTATATTACAACAGGTTTTTGTTATTTCACTGTCATTTCTAATCAGTTAGTCCCAGGGACTTGGACTTGGACTTGCTGTAGTTTCGTTCAGTTTTGCTGAAGGTATTTAATTAGGCAAGACAGTTGCAGCTAAGATATGTCTCTGGTTGTAGTAAATAAAATAAAATTAACACCCCAAGGAATAGTCTCCCGACTAATTCACTCCTGTCTTGGTACAGCTTAAAAGTGAGAATGATGAATTTTTGCAATATTCTATAAATTAAATGTTACTAAATGAGGTGCAATCCCAAGTAAATTTGACACTCTACCCCCAACCCCCCCCCCCCCCCCCCCCCCCCCCCCGACCGGCACATTTTTTAGGGCCATATGTGATCTGCAGGCAACTAAATACACAGTCAAAAATACACTTTACAGTGTATCCTGTGAAGCGCTTTGAAACATCTCTACAATATGATAAAGCCTATATCAAATGTAAGGGTTATTAATATTAGAGTGGAAAGTCAGCCTGCTCCACCTACGCTGGTTTGAGTTGGGTGTGAGACAGTGGGCTTTGGGATAACTCTGGGTTTTCCCCTTCTTGTGAGAAAGCACCTGCTGGGACTTGATCCCTTCCCATAACAGTGCGTCTGAGATGGATCCTCGAGTGTGATACACACCGCACTGCTGCCATTTTAACTTTTGATGTCTTGTGTCATACTTGCTTTCAATTTCACTCACAAACTACACAGTCAATCCACTTTACAGTATATCCTGTGAAGCGTTTTGAGACATCTCGTTGAGGTGAAAGGTGCTCTTATCAAATACAAGGATTATTTTTCATAAAATTAGTTGCGATTCCTCCCATCAAAAACAAAGTTGATAACAGCACATCTGCTGGACCTTTAAGGATAAATAAAAAAATTGCAACATAAAATGTTATGGTTAGGAAATCTTTTTGATTTGACTCGCTTGTCATTAGGTGTTGTAGGTATTTTGTAGAAATAAAGAGTAACATTTAAATGTTTCATTTTAAAGTAAAAAAAATTATAAGTTAATGTTTGTTTTCTTTGACTGACCCAAACTTTTCAAGCTCAGTTTTTGTAACCGGTCTATCGTTCCACACAGCACAATTTTATTGCATTACGATATTTGTGTGCCAGGCAGTATCTTTAACTTATAATTATAATATTGAAAATGACTTGAGAGGAACCTACTTTATTCTCACAAACCTAAACAAAAGTAGGGACTTCTTCTGTATGATGCACAATTGTAGAAGATGTCTTGTTAAATGGAATGAAAATGTAACCAGTCATAAGATAAATTCACCGCAAAAAAGTTTACTTAAGAGATTTAAAATGGATGCCAGTTACTATGTGTCGTATGATGAGTGTTGAAATAAATGTTACATAATGATCTATATATTTTATAAATATATAATGTACCAGCAGCAGAAATCATACCGGTTTAGAAATTATTTCCTGTTTATCAACCACAGATGATTTCTTGATAATCACAACAACAACTTGCATTTATATAGTGCCCTTCACCCCGGACGGCATCTTGGAGAGCTTGATAAACACACAGTGATGATGCTCTCGGTCTTCCAGTGCAAGCTTCATTGCACATCAGGAATTTGGAAATGTGTTAAGAGTTGATCTCTGCGCTTCTGGTCCAAAAAATGACCCCAAAATTTGAATGCCTCACACACATTAAAACTTCCATAAAAATAGAAAGGACGAGTTTTAAGATGCTAATTTATGGTTAAAAACTGTAAGAGCTTTGCTTTCCTTGATGACATATTCTAAAACCTTAGAATTCAATGTCTACTCTTTATTTTTCTTATTAAATAAATTGTCCTTTTTGTTACCAATCGTTGCCCCTCTTCCTGCTTCCTGGGGTGTGATTGTGTGTCTATTGGTGATATCTTGGCCAAATGGTCATTTATTATGAGTGAGCTCTGACAGACTATTCGACCCCAGCATAGCAGATCAGCAGGAGCGAGAAAGCTGCTTATTCCCCCCTTCCTCTGTCTGGGTGCTAAGACCAGTTCATAGCATCTCAATTGCTATCTCATCTGAGATCAGCAACTCAGAGTAGACCAGGACTTGGAACGACATACTTCTGGTCTGTATAGCCCAGTACTGCATTAGGGTGGTGCCTTTAGCCACTGGCCATTGGGACAGCTGATGTAATTTTTTTAATACTAGGAATTTTATTTACAGTAAATATGTGAAGAGTTTGTGAGAAATGCTCAGTTTTTGTATGGAGCTTAATCTTGTGTTGGTTAAGAACAGCCTTTGAAAATTTTGTTGCTATTTTTCATATATTATTGCCATTAATATCTGACTGATGTGACTCGATTTTACAAATGTGTTATCTTGGCATACTTTGCTCAGTAGAATCGAGTCTGGAAGGTAGTGGAGTAAACTGAGGTTGGAGTCACTCTGAGCTGAAAGTGGGCATTATTTACAAATAAGGAGTCTGTTTTGAGAAAGTTGCATTTTCAACAATATTAAAAAGTAAATCTGAATTTGATCTTAAAAGTTGCGAATTCAGTAGCAGCACCAAAGGAAGCCTGGGAGCTGGCTGTGTTGAGGATGCTGTGCTTTGTGTAGCTCAGTGGTTAGAGCATTTGCGTCACAAGCGAGAGACCTGGGTTTGATTCTCGGCAGGGCGAAATGTTGGTCGTTTCCTTACTCCATACATCTCAGTTTACCTAGCAGTAGGTAGGAACCCCGTTGTTAGTCGATGGACGAATTGCTTTTCCGGGTGTAATAATTTCCTCAAAAAATAATAATAAATTGGTCACTTCAATCCACGACTGTTTATAGGACACAACTGTGCACAATTGGCTGCTGCATTTCGCCCACAATATGTACAGTCAATTAACGTTGCAGTATATTCTGTGAAGTGCGTTAAGACGTCTAGAAGACGTGATAATGCGCTATATCTAATGCAAGGATTATTATTATTCCTTCGCCTGTGTTGTGTTACGAGACCCTGACTGGAAGAAAATTCTAGCGAGTGTTCTGAAAATAGAGCCCTGCAAAGTCCGTTGTTTAGATGAGACGTTAAACCAAGGTCTCGTCTGCCTGTTCATGTTCAGGTGATGTTAAAGATCCCTTGGCACTATTCGAAAAGAGAAGGGAGTTTCTCTCTCCCGATGTCCTGACTAGCATTTCCCCAGATAAAATTGGTCACTCACTCCATGGCTGTTTGTGGGGCATTGCCATTTGCAAATTGGCTGCCAATTTTCACCCACAAAATAGACAGTCAAACCTCTTTAATAATAATGCACAATATCCTGTGAAGCCCTTTGGGACGTCTTGACGGTGTGATAAGACGCTATATCAAATGCAAGGATTATTACTTATTTTATTTGCATCACAATATTCTCTTGTATTTGATGTCCAGTGGAGCTGCAATTGTCTCCAGTTGATGTCTTGTTGTTGTTGATGGTGGTGGCGGTGAGACCATTTTGTTTTGCAAGTCTCTCGCCCAGTCCAAATTTTACACAACCAAACTAGTCTGCTTTGCGGTTGGACAGAGTCTGTTATGAGCATTGATAAGCCTCACTGCATGAGTCCTGAAAAATATGATCATAAGACTGAATCAAATTATGGAAGCAACTTG